TCACATGATCTGAATATGATCTTGGTGGTAGTCAGATGATCTATATATTTGTCCTGATGGTAGTCCCATGATCAGTATATTATCCTGATGGTAGTCACTTGATCTGTATATTATCCTGGTGGTAGTCACATGATTTGTATATTATCCTGGTGGTTGTCACATTATCTGTAAATTGTCCTGGTTTTAGTCACATGATTTGTATATTAACCGGGTGGTGGTCACATTATCTGTATATGATCCTGGTGGTAGTCACATTATCTGTGTATGATTCTGATGGTAGTCACATGTTCTGTATATTATCCTTGTGGAAGTCGCATTATCTGTATATTTTCCTGGTGGTAGTTACATGATCTGTATATTGTCCTGGTGGTAGTCACATGATCTGTTTATTATCCTGGTGGTAGTCACATTATCTGTATATAGTCCTGGTGGTTGTCACATGATCTGTATATTATCCTGGTGGTAGTCACATGATGTGTATATTGTCCTGGTGGTAGTCACATGATCTGTATATGATCCTGGTGGTAGTCACATGATCTGTATATTATCCTGGTGGTAGTCACATGATTTTTATATTATCCTGTGGGGTCACTTGATCTGTATATTGTCCTGTTGGTAGTCACATGAACTGTTAATTTATCATGGTGGTAATCACATGATTTGTATATTATCCTCGTGGTTGTCACATTATCTGTAAATTGTCCTAGTTTTAGTCACATGATTTGTATATTAACCGGGTGGTGGTCACATTATCTGTATATGATCCTGGTGGTAGTCACATTATCTGTGTATGATCCTGATGGTAGTCACATGTTCTGTAAATTATCCTTGTGGAAGTCGCATGATCTGTATATTGTCCTGTTGGTAGTCACATGATCTGCATATTATCCTGGTGGTAGTCACATGATATGTCTTTTGTCCTTGTGGTAATCACATGATCTGTATATTATCCTGGTGGTAATCACATGATCTGTATATTATCCTGGTAGTAGTCACATGCTCTATATATCTATCCTGGTTGTAGTCACATGATCTGCATATTATCCTGGTGGTAGTCACATGATATGTCTTTTGTCCTTGTGGTAATCACATGATCTGTATATTGTCCTGTTGGTAGTCACATGATCTGTATATTATCCTGGTGGTAGTCACATGCTCTATATATCTATCCTGGTTGTAGAAGTCACATTATCTGTATATCTATCCTGATGGTAGTCACATGATCAGTATAGGAGAGGTCACATGATCTGAATATGATCTTGGCGGTAGTCACATGATCTGTATATTATCCTGATGGTAGTCACATGATCTGTACATTTAATCTTGTGGTAGTCACATACTCTGTGGGAATGTCCAGGTGGTAGTCACATGATCTTTATATTATCCTCTCTTCATCACATGATTTCTTTATTATCCTGGTGGTTGTCACATTATCTGTATATTACCCTGTTGGTAGTCGCATGATCTGTATATTATCCTGGGGGTTGTCACATGATCTGTATATTATCCTGGGGGTTGTCACATGATCTGTATATTATCCTGGTGGTAGTCACATGATATGTAAATTTATCCTTGTGGTAGTCACATGATCAGTATAGATGAGGTCACATGATATGAATATTATCTTGGTGGTAATCACATGATCTGTATATTATCCTGGTGGTAGTCACATTACTTGTATATTGTCCTGTTTTTTGTCACATGATCTGTATGTTATCCTGATGGTAGTCACATGATCGGTATAGGAGAGGTCACATGATCTGAATATGATCTTGGTGGTAGTCACATGATCTGTATATTATCCTGATGGTAGTCACATGATCTGTCTTTTGTCCTTGTGGTAGTCACATGATCTGTATATTATCCTGGTGTTAGTCACATGATCTGTATATTATCCTGGTGGTAGTCACATTACTTGTATATTGTCCTGTTGGTAGTCACATGATCTGTATATTATCCTGGTGGTAGTCACATGATCTATATATCTATCCTGGTTGTAGAAGTCACATTATCTGTATATCTATCCTGATGGTAGTCACATGATCAGTATAGGAGAGGTAAACATGATCTGAATATGATCTTGGTGGTAGTCACATTACTTGTATATTGTCCTGGTTTTAGTCACATGATCTGTATATTATCCTGATGGTAGTCACATGATCAGTAAAGGAGAGGTCACATGATCTGAATATGATCTTGGTGGTAGTCAGATGATCTATATATTTATCCTGATGGTAGTCCGATGATCAGTATATTATCCTGATGGTAGTCACTTGATCTGTATATTATCCTGGTGGTAGTCACATGATTTGTATATTATCCTGGTGGTTGTCACATTATCTGTAAATTGTCCTGGTTTTAGTCACATGATTTGTATATTAACCGGGTGGTGGTCACATTATCTGTATATGATCCTGGTGGTAGTCACATTATCTGTGTATGATCCTGACGGTAGTCACATGTTCTGTATATTATCCTTGTGGAAGTCGCATGATCTGTATATTTTCCTGGTGGTAGTCACATTATCTGTATATTATCCTGGTGGTAGTCACATGATCTGTAAATTCATCCTGGTGGTAGTCACATGATCTGTATATTATCCTGGTGGTAGTCACATGAACTGTAAATGTATCATGGTGGTAGTCACATGATCTGTATATTATCCTGGTGGTAGTCAAATGATCTTCATATTATCTTGGTGGTAGTCACATGATCTGTATATTGTCCTGTTGGTAGTCACATGATCTGTATATTGTCCTGTTGGTAGTCACATGATCTGTATATTACCCTGGTGGTAGTCAAATGATCTGTATATTATCCTGGTGGTAGTCACATGATCTGTATATTATCCTGGTGGTAGTCACATGATCTGTATATTGTCCTGTTGGTAGTCACATGATCTGTATATTATCCTGGTGGTAGTCACATGATCTGTATATTATCCTGGTGGTAGTCACATGATCTGTATATTATCCTGGTGGTAGTCACATGATCTGTATATTATCCTGGTGGTAGTCACATGATCTGTATATTATCCTGGTGGTAGTCACATGATCTGTATATTATCCTGGTGGTAGTCACATGATCTGTATATTATCCTGGTGGTAGTCACATGATCTGTATATTATCCTGGTGGTAGTCACATGATCTGTATATTATCCTGTTGGTAGTCACATGATCTGTATATTATCCTGGTGGTAGTCACATGATCTGTAAATTTATCATGGTGGTAGTCACATGATCTGTATATTATCCTGGTGGTAGTCACAAGATCTGTAAATTTATCATGGTGGTAGTCACATGATCTGTATATGATCCTGTTGGTAGTCACATGATCTGTATATTACCCCGGTGGTAGTCAAATGATATGTATATTATCCTGGTTGTAATCACATGACCTGTAAATTTATCCTTGTGGTAGTCACATGATCTATATATTATCCTTGTGGTAGTCACATGATCGGAATATTATCCTGGTAACAGTGAGATATCCAAATATCATAAAGGTAGTCACATGATTTTGTAACTGTCCTGACAGTAAAGTCACCAATTCGTTTGAAATATCCTGGTTGCAGTAAAATTTTCTTTATAAATATCTTGATGGTATTTTTCTCATAAAATTTTCTTTGAAGTAGTAACATATTCTGAAGGAATATCCTGGTGGAAGCCGTGTATTTTGTATAAATATTCTCATAGATGTGACATTTTTTTTGTATTAATACCCTTGTGGAAGACACACATTGTGTATACATTTCCTGGTAATAAATAACATTGAAGTCACATATTCTATATACAAATATCCTGGTAGCAGTAAAATATTTATTGTGCATATTGAATAAAATATCTGGGTGAATTAGCCACATATTCTGTACAAAATTCCTGTTGGTGAATATAGTCACATATTTCTAAATAAATATCCTGGTGATAATTACATAATCTGTATGACATTTCATTTAGGTTACAAGTTCATCATATTTGCTTGTTTATTAAATCTCTGAACAAGTTTAAATTTGATTTCATGACTCAGACATTGTCCTTCTTTTCCATACATTTTTCAAAACACGACCATACTGACACTTGAATTTCGCTTATAAGGAACCCACCACAGAATCTAAGTCATAACGAACCCACCACAGAATCTAAGTCATAACGAACCCACCACGGAATCTAAGTCATAAGGAACCCACCATGGAATCTAAGTCATAACGAACCCACCACAGAATCTAACTCATAACGAACCCACCACGGAATCTAAGTCATAACAAACCCACCACGGAATCTAAGTCATAACAAACCCACCACGGAATCTAAGTCATAACAAACCCACCACGGAATCTAAGTCATAAGGAACCCACCACGGAATCTAAGTCATAACAAACCCACCAAGTCCCCTGAGGTTTGCTGTTATAGTTCGTTACATTGTCATACAGTAACATTAACAGTGCATTACCTTCACTAAATATTGTAACATTATCTATATTTAAATTAGGAAGAAAATATCTAGACTAGCCTCATATATAATGGACAGATTAGAAAATTCTGATAAAACCTAGATACACTGTTGTCTGTGGTGGTAAGTGATTTTCCTTTGCTAAATTGGATGTAATCCTATATGCAGTAAATGTCACGATATTTGGAGTAGACTTTTCAAGGATTTTCTTCCTAATGGGCCAACTGGGAATATGGTAGCTACAGTTACTATGGCGATGGAGTGTTATATCAGAATAAGGAGAAGGTTTGTCAGGGATTCACTCCTGATGTCATTTTTAGTCAGTCTCATACTTTGGTGCCTTTAACAGTATTGTTACACAGGAAACTTTTAACATAAAATGCGTAAAAAAAATTGATTTAAATGTCAATTTATAGACTGTTGTCCCACTACTCACCAATAATTCTCAGCTTGTATAGAATTTTGTTTAGCTAGTGTGACATTGTGTAATGTGCAGCCATGCCGTAGTGTTTACAATGAGTGTACACATGTAATGGATAGACATTCTTACCTTTTTAAAGCGTTTCCCTACGTTACTTTTCCTGAATCTGTTGAAGTTAGCCTTAAATTTGTTTTTAGAGGCTGGGTCGTTATGGTCCACCTGGTCTACCATTGGCTCTGTGTAAGTCCCTCCTTGCTCAGCCATATTATTTTTTCTGAGGACTTTTTTGCTTCTGAATCTGTGGCAACTGAGGAGACAACAAAAGGCAGAGAGATATCACTCACACCACACTAGTGATATGCAGGGTCCAATCTCCTGGTGGGACACAGTCAACTCAACTGATGAAAAAACCTGGAGGATGAAATTCTTGCCGTGTTGGCTAGCCTGATTGGAGGTCTGGGTTGAGTGGTCGTTACCTTTCACCCAGACCAGTTCCTCAGATCAAATCAGCTGTAACGAGGATGTTTAGTTGGTGCAGATTTATCTGTGTTTTAGCAGTGTAACACTAAGTCAGCTTGGTGTAATAAGTCAGCTTGTTGTAATAACAGCTGTGTGTTACTGTAGTAGGGATCCAATGCTACTGTGGCTGACAAAGGAGGAGGCCCTCTGCTGATACTGGGGACACGGCTTAGCGATCCAGAGCTACTGTGGCTGCTGAAGAGGAGGAGGAGCAGGCACTCTGCTGATACTAGGGACACAGCTGGGCAAACACTGAAAGGAGACAAAAATACATTAGTGATATTTCTGTCCACTTCCCAGCACGACATGTGTCAGGGCTGGATGACAGAACAATACCACACACCAAAAATATTAAGTGGCCTTAATAACTGCTACTTTTTATAATTTGTGTAACATACAAAAGAAAAATTGCATAAATAATATGTATTTTTTATTAATATGTATTTTTTCCCCATAAATGACCCATTTCTATAGTTTTCCTTGANAGGGGGTGGTGGTGGAGGACGATGAAGTAGGGGCGGGGAGGAAGAAGGGGAGGGGTATCAGTACATATGTGCCTATACATATGTAAATTCTTTTTACACTCTAGATTCATCACTGTTGTAATATAAAACCAGTCGCTCTGTAAAGTAAAATCTGGATAACAAAAACACAATCACGCTTGTCTTTCTGTTTACCGACAAACTACAGGTGAGTTCAAAATAGCTATCTCTTCAGACAGGTGAGAAATCGTCTTAGATATGCATCAGGTACAGACATATGTGTCACTAAAGTTTGAACTTTGTAGTATTTGTATTTATTGCTATGCAAATTATTTTAATATCACACTGACTTACTATGATATTTATTTAAACTTAAAAGATAATAAATCATAAACTAATATAGTCTAGATCTAAATCTACATATTTGCTCATAAAAAAATCTATTTTGACAGGTAAATGTGCATGAAAACATATCATGTCATTTAAAAAAAAAAAGGGGGATTTGCAAATGATACAATCATATTTTGGTACAAACATGGTTATGATGATTTACATAGCCTTGCTGAAGGTAACAACCTGTGACCAGTTGATGTGTCCCAGTCTATTGTATGTATAGGTGTATCAGAGGAATAGAAATATCCTAACCAATGGTTATATGGTTCAGAAATCATCAAATATTTCTGCCGTGAAATCTAGAACTTGCACTTATCAACGACATTGTATGAAATTCAAGAAAAGGTAAAATCAGTTGAAAACAAATTTCCTGTGCCTGCCTCCCCACAGTAATGAGATATCATCTGTTTTGTCATTTCATTGTTTTCATTTTCATTTTTGACTATGCCCATAATGTGAGGCTAAAGATCTTCTTCACACTTAAGGGAGAGTGTCCCAGTGATCTATATTGTATCTCGAACAAAGGAGAGTTCCAAATTGTTCAGCGTTTTTTCTGACTTGAAGTTGCCTGGCCATTAACTATAGCAAAGGTTACACAATATCATTTTGGCTCCACTGTACCACAAGTCAGGATATTTGTTATATCAATACTTTTCTGTAGTATTACTTAGAAATAATTTCAAAATCATTTAACTCCCTAAAAAGGCATGCAACCTATAATTGTCTTTGTATGATACAGAGAATATAACATAAATTTAACAGGAAAATAACTTTTTAAAATGTGTTTACTGTAGAAAAGACCTTTATGTAATCAAGCATGCTAATGTAAATCTGCTGCTTAGCCTGTCCTGGAAAAGAATGGGCAACTTATGTGGCCATGCAGAAAGGTTTATGCAAGTATGATCCCACTAAGGGCTTTACGGCTGGCATAAAGGTTGCTGTGAAAGAAAATTCCCGAATACTATTACCATATTTCTCCTGCAAAAAGCCAAGAAGGCCAACATGCCATTGCTGATTACACAAGTGAGGTGGGCTTATTATAGGACGATGTTAGTATTTCTACAGAATTTGAATAGATATGGATGGGCTTATTACCAGGCATGGAGCTATATTTGAATAAATATGGTTGGTGCCAAGAAAGACTACTGAGGACAATAAATATATGACTTTGTGCAGATAAAATCTAACTTAAATCAGCTGTGAAAAGGGTAAGTAATGCCTGTTCAACTGCAGTTCACACGAATATCTGAGTATCCCACTCTCCTGAAATGTCTGGGATGAAGGGGTTACCTGTAAGTGCTACAATACATTCAGAGGTAAGGGCAATACAATCGGCCTATAAAAGGACACACAGACAGACAAACAACCTTGAAAACCGTGATAATAATTTCACCTCAAAAGTTATCACATATACAGCAGAATCTATGAGTTTTCTATGAAGCTAACACTTGATGAGCGAGAACAAGTTGATCCAAAGATCCTCTGAGCTAGGTCAGTAGTACAATTGAATTAAAAATAGAAAGAAAGAAACATAATTGATAAAACACCAGGGCCCTTTGCCTGGACACTGCTAACATTGGCCAATCTCCTATGTTACAACAGGAGGCAGACCAAGTAACCCTATAGCATCAACACTGGGCTGATGATAGAACCAAGTCAATGGGAATTAAATGAGGCAAGAAAAGGTGTAAGATAATAATAACAAGGCTGACCTTATTTCTATCAACAAAATACAATCTTACTTGAGTAATATCCCTGTTACCCTCTCACATGTCTGACCTCGTAACCCCCCCCCCACACACACACACACTCAACAAAACCTCCTCCCCACTAAATTCCCTCCCCCTATGCAAACACACAACCAACTTAATCAAATAAACATCCACTGTAGCAATACACCAAATACATTGAATTCAGGTTAGGAACAGAAGTTGGATCTCCCTCTCTATGTAGAGCATCATACTGTGAAATCTGTCATCCATGTATCATTCATCATACAAGATGAATGAGTTGTCTTTAGCAATAAATGGGTGAAATTCTATCAGAAATATTTATGGACAATGAAAAATACCAATTACTGTACTTTAACCCTTTCACCCCTATGTAACTTAAGTAAACTCTACCATCCGTTGATCTGGATAGGTCCATTATGGTATACAGTGGTGAAAGGATTAAGTAATTATGTTTTAAGGATCCCTGCCCCACTATAAAGGCAATACACTCGAGAATTCCACTGTAGTCTTTTATACACACAGTAACCTCCTCTTCATTTAAAGCGATTCACATCACAGTAAAGTTTGATACAGCCTTAAGTCTTAATATCAAAGTCAGATGGCATACAGCCTTAANTGATCTTGAGAAGAAGATTTTTGAAATTTCAGTAAATTCAACCCTTTTTCGCCCCACCCATCAACCCCGGGGGGTCAGTCAGGGCTGATATGTGCATACTATCAAACTGCTACCTAATACTGATAATGCTAACCTAAATTGAATTACTTCCATGGAAGGTCCCTGCAAAATTTCATTGAAATTGGTTCAGGGGTTTTGGGGAAGAAGATTTTTGAAATTTTAGTCAATTTGACCCTTTTTGGCCCCGCCCCTCAGGCCCCTGGGGGCTTAGGACTAAACCGGCAACTCTTTTTGTTGACCTTTGTCCATGAAAGGTCCCTGCAAAATTTCATTGAAATTGGTTCAGGGGTTTTGGAGAAGAAGTCGAAAATGTAAATTGTTTACGGACGGACGACGACGGACAAAAGGCGATCGCAATAGGTCACTTGAGACTTTGTCTCAGGTGACCTAAAAATCTAATCTACACAAATTTGCATGTCATTATGAGACCAGAAAGTTTATTTAAACATCTTTCATGTTTTTTCCTAAAATGACAAATCAATTTACAAGGAATAAAAAGATTTATAAAAAGGAAGTAGCTTCCTGTAAAAAAAGAAATGTTTTTATGAGATTTCACAAGGTACATTCAAACACCATTCCTTTGATACAAAATTTTGCAGTAAGATGGTACATTGGTTTGTTTCAATCTTTGTATACTGACTGTGCTAATAAATTATTTGTTAGGGAAGAAACCATAAATTCTGCCTTTTGTTTCAAAATGAATTCTGACTCTCTTTAAATAATTTCTTAAGTATCTGTGAATTCTGCTTTTCTGTTCTTTTAAGTTTGGTAAGATACTATGCATTCTGTGTAAGTGTTTAATTCTAAAAATTCTGTCTCCATGTTTATAATGTCAGTACAAATTAATGTCTGAAATCTTTCTGACTGTTTATAACTTTGCTAAGAATTTAGGAGTCCTGTTTATAATTGAGAATATTTTTGCAATAATGATGATAAGGTCCCAATTTTTTAATTGGTGTGGTGGTGATGCATTATGGGACAAAGGTTGTCATGGCATTTTGAAAATTGAGGTCACATGAGTGCTTCATCATAACCATCAGCAGCAGCAGCTGAAATAATTATATGTTATTATTATTACGATGAAATGTGTGTGTTTTACATGTGTGTTTTATACAGTGACATGCTGCACTCTGTACCGTTTGCCTGTACAAACAAACTCGGGCAGATCAAGCTCCACGGGAGCAGTGATATTGGGTGTAGGCGAATGCCACACTTTTGATGTAGGTATTTTGACATTTGTGGGCAAAGGAGCTCAACAATGCCAGTAGTATCTGCGGTAATTGTATCTAACAACACAAGGCAATGACTGATAGTGATGTCTCTGTGATAGCCGAACAATCTATCAACGCTTTTGCTTGTCCCGCCTGAAATAAATATTCAGAAGTGTTTTCATAAACTCCGAATATTTGCTCAACCAGACCAAAAAAACAGTGATAGCCCTGGGAGATACGTTAACAGGTGATTAAACCTCCGCCTGACACCAACACATGCAATGCTCACGACTTGTTTTCACCTCCAAGCTGAAGATTCATGACCACGTAGGAATACTCAGCACGCTGCGAAATCATGTTTGAAACCCCATGATTGTTAATACTCCATGTTGGTTTAGCCTCGTAAAAACCAGTTAAAAACATAACGGATTTCTTTTAAGAAGAAACAGTTCTATATTTATTTTGCAAATATTTCAAAAAGTTTATAATTCACTTTTCTAAAACTGAAGTTACAGCATCATAAGTTAAGTACATGTCTATTACATGTATAATGGTTTGTTGAAAGGAAATTTCACAACCAAGACATTAAGTCAGATTGGATGTACTGCATGTAGGTAACCACTGCACTGTGAATGAACTCAAAGAAAAGTTTTACTACAGAGCTGGGTTTTTTTCAATTGGGAGGTATTTTCCCCTTTATATAGAAGATGAAGCAAAAAAAAAAGAAGAAGGCATTTATTTGACCTAGAGTTACTTC